TAGTAAAAGGGATTGTACACTTAGAGGTTTTTGTGATTCTGATTGGGCATCATGTGCAGTAACAAGAAAATCAGTAACTGGTTATTGTATGAAGTTAGGCAATTCTCTAATTTCTTGGAAATCAAAGAAGCAAGAAACTATATCAAGGAGTACTGCTGAAGCAGAATATAGAAGCATGGCATCAGCAGTAGCTGAAGTTATTTGGCTAGTGGGACTGTTGGAGGAGATGAACATGAAGGTGAAAATTCCAGTAGAGTTATTTTGTGACAACAAAGCTGCCATTCAGATTGCTGGAAATCCTATATTTCATGAAAGGACTAAACATATAGAGATTGATTGTCACTTTGTTAGGGAAAAAATACAAAAGGGATTGATCAAGACAATGTATATTCGTGGAACTGATCAAGAAGCTGACCTTTTAACTAAGGCTTTGGGAGGTCAACAGCACAATTACATATTAGACAAGTTGGGGTTGATAAATGTATTTCAACCTTCAACTTGAGGAAGGAGTGTTGAGACAATAAAATTGTTAGTAACTAACCCAGAAAATAGTTAGTTAAATAAGTTAAAAATTAGTTGTTAATAAGTTAGTTTTTAGATTCCTTTTTCAGTATCAAGTTTGTTGATTGTACAGAGTATAAATACATGGTCATACTGTATAGGAAAGTTAGTTCATCAATAATATCAGTTCTTCTTCTTCTCCAGAATCTTCTCTGTTCATGGTTACTTCTTCTCTCCACATCCAACTTATCTGTTCTTAACAAATCGAATTCCAGGAAAATCAAGAGTACTAAGTAAAAAAATAGTTCAATTATTTGAAAATAAATGATAAAAGAAACCCCTATTGTGAAAGCAAAATAGATATCATGAAACAATAACTGAAAATTTTCTTCCATCTACCAACTAATAAATAATTAAAACCTGCAAAAGTTTCTAATGAGTATATCACATTATATAATTCAGTGACAAAACCAAAATCTCTTTACATAATCAGACATGATGAGAATAATAATATGTGTATTTGAAGTTAACTGTAATCTGCTTGAATACTGTCAATGCAAATCCATAGTGAATTCATACCTCTAGATCCCCACAACTCCTTGCTATTATCTCTGCTGTCTCATGGGCCCGTTTTAAGTCAGATGAATATATGACAGAGATCCTTGGCTCCTTGGAGAGCCGGGCTGCCACCTTGAATAAATCAACTTCAGGCGTTGACCAAAAACCCCAAAGAGAAAAAGAAAAAATGAAAATGGAAGGAAGAAAAGGTTGAAATTAACCCCACTGGAAGTTATTAAGCTGGGAAACGTTGAAGTCCCACATCCCCTCCCCACAATAAAAACAAACAAAATGAAACGGGTAAAGGTACAGATTATCTCCCTTAAGTAGTGGTATCTTAGGAATTGAATCTTTTCTCTAACAAAAATGTTAACAAAGATTGTCAAAGTTTTAGCTAAGGGCTGGGCCATAATTCATTTCCTTCTCTTTTAAATGCATATACTTTAGAACAAATGCTGAATTGCGCGTCTCAAAAAATTATAAGGGGTAGTGTACATCAATTTCAAAGGTTCAAAGCAATTAAATGATATACAGAATTTACAAAACAAAATACTATTCTACAGATACTTACAGCAGTAGCTTGCTGTCTTCCGATGTCATTTAATTCGACATCTAAATGTCCCTGGTAAATAATGAAACAAGCATCAGTTACCACATCCTATTTTTATGATCCATTTAGTGCTATTGAATTTTCCATGCAAAGCCAAACGATAACGATTCACAAGAAGTTCCAAGTGTATACATCATGGACTTTTTTTCGATAACCGAGGAATTTTCGAGGGTCCGTGGTGCACGGTTAGAAACTCAGTGGAGAATGGACCCACCTTTCTACCCCCTTCTTTACTTAAATACTAGACTTCTGTCTGTGGCAAGGCTCGAACCCGTGATGTCCGCTTAACCCATACATCACAAGTTGACTCTTACCACCGGACCAAAGCCCATCCAACAACATCAAGAACTTTCAATCACTTTAGATGTGGTAAAAAAATTCTATCCATATTTCCTCTGGTTTTGCATTATGCCACTTACGCTTTATAAGAATTTGGTAGAATTCCTCAATATGATACCAAAATATAGACAGTGGATTAAATACGAGCAGTAATAAGTAGAAAATATTACCAAGTTTGGACTAATTTTTCTTTCACAATGAGCAACTAGATGGCAAACTAATTAGAAAGGAGCATACTAGCTTAGAAATACTCCAAAAATTCAAAATATCAAGTTTTGCATGTCAGTTTTACCGTGTAAAGACTCCTAAAAACTTTTAAAAATTACAAATCCAGAAAGAACAAGGGCACATACTTGAAAAAAAAAAACAGAAAGCTAAAACGAGGTAGAAAAATACCTGAATTCTGCCACCAGCGTTCCATTCCGTCTCACCATGACGGATTACGATAATCTCAGTGAAATTAGGACTCACATTTTCAGATTTCGCATCTCCGCCACACTCAGGCTGCGATATAACCCTGATTAACAAATTGACATCACAAGTTAGGGCAGGAAAGGATCGAAAAAAAAAAACAAAAAAGCACGATTATCCAAATTTATAGGCAGTTAGTACACCTCTTAGAATATAAACACTACATACTTTTCAAAATTCTGTTTTGGTTTCCAATATACAGATATACCTCAAATCAACTGCTTATATGCCAATGTAATTCAAACTTCTAAGCATGACAGTAATAGGTGCACGTATAGGAACTGCTTATACAGTGAGCCATGTAAATACAGACCTAGAAGTAGAATCAGCCATGGAAATATGAAGAAGAGGAGGGATTGAATTGGATCTCAAGGCGGGTATTCTGAGAGTATGGTTGGAAATTGCAGCAATTGGTAACAATTTTGAGCAACAAAAATTGCTGGTCTGAGAGTGGCGGAGAAGCAGATGAATGTCAGGCTTTAGTGATTCCACATAACGAAATGAGATCATCTCCGGCTCCGTAGAGGATTTGTATTCCTGTTACTGATGAAAATAACAAAAATAGATGGGCTTACGGATCTGGGCCAGCCTAATACGTGTCCAACATTTTCGATGGGCTGAAAAAGACAATACCAAAGAGTTTAAAACATAACGAGGCAAAATAATTATAGTTTTGTTTAGTTACGATTTGTAGCTACATGTTTAAAGGAGCGAGAGGTAAGCGAGATTAGGAGAAGGAGAATTGAGGAGAGAAGCGAATTGCATTTTGTACGTATATCTGTTAAATAATTATATATATGTACCTGGTATATATACGTATCAATGATTTTATTTATATACTTATTGATTAATTGTATATGTAATAAAGAATAAAATTTTGTATACAAATACAATTTATATCAATGAAAATTTAGCAAAACTGTAGTCATAGATTAAAAAAGAATCAAAATTATAGCTGTATTACATTATATATTTCTAAATGTTTTTTATTTGACATAATTTTCCCTTTTTGGTTCACTATTTAGAGTTTCAAAATTCCAAAATAATAAAAAGAATTATCATCCGAATTTCTTCTAACCCTTCTCTCCGCAAATCTTTATTCCCCTCCCCCAATCTTTGATCCATTTTTTCTTTAATTTATATAGTGAATTTAATTGTTGACTGCTTTCAAAGTATTGTAAACTCTCTAAAAACAATTATAAATCTTCTAATGTTTTAAAATTATTTTTATGATAATATATAAATTGCTCAGAAATCATTAATTGATTATCATGGCAATTGACAAAATCCCATGGAACCAAAATCAAACGATAATAAAATACGCTCATATATACTTTTTACAATCTGAATACGCCTAAATATTCAGCCATTCTTCTTAGGATATGGATGCATCATATTGTATATCAAAAACATTGAATCTGCCAAACACAGGCCTTATAGTCAGCATTTTTAGTTATAGCTTATCCAAATTACAAGTGGTTTATGTACTAGCTGATCCAAAATAATAATTATTTTTGAAATATAAACAATTATTTGTTTTTATGAATCATTAAAAAAATATGCCAAGTAAAATGAACCAGAAAAGATACGGATAAAGTCATCAACTATATATTATGTGGCCATGTGTTTGTGACTTATTAATTATAAATAAAATATAATTGGGTGCGTAACTAATAATACTACTTTGATCATATTGAAAGTCATATAAGAACGAAGTTTCAACTCTAACTCACCAATGTTCAAATAAGACTGAGCACTTTACCAACTTTGAATTTGTTTTACTCGTCCAAATTATAATACAATATCTCTTGTTTTCTTTTTCTCCTTCCTAATTGATGGGATAATTAATTAATAGTATTATATTTGGTATCACGTCTATTATTCTTGTATAGCTCATTTGAAAAGCAAATAAATAGGGTAAGTAGTCGGTCAACTTTGAGGAATTACCCAGAAAATCAAACACCAAAAATTATATTAAATTTTGGACATATAAAGAGATTAGAGGGGTAAATATAAGCACAAACTGAATTTTATTTAAGTCATAAGTCATACATAAGAGACTAATAGTTGTTAGGTAGATGATTTGGAGTTAAGCTGTATATTTATTTAATTCCGCATAAGTAATACCATATTTAATGATTATTTTAGAAGGTAAATTATATTATTGATACATTAAAATTAATACAATATTTAATTTTTTACTTATATAAGATAAAAAATAAAATAACTAATCCTTAAATAATTAATATCTACGTAAAATAATACATATTTTCAACGTATTGACGTAAAGCCCCACTGGGTCACCAGGATTTCATCGAGACGGTTCAAAGGTATACAGTAATAAAATATTTTAAAATAGCAATTGGATATAATTTTTGACCATTTTGCCTCTACTTTCTGAAAATATAAAAAGATTTTGTCAACAACCCAAACGACATGTATAATGGGTTAGCAGCCACCGAAATTATGTCATGACTAAAAGTGTACAAGGAATTTTATGTGTATAAATAAAGCATATTTCACCTAAACTTATGAATCCAAGCCAATATTAAGTTATTCTTTTTCCTCATCAGTCATTAAACTAAAGAACATTATGGGTAGAATTTTCGTAGCTGCACTAACTTTATTAGTAACCCTTCAAGTTTTACATATTCCTATAGCTTTTGCTGCTACAACAGGAAAGAAAATAACAATTTTGAGCATTGATGGAGGTGGTATCAGAGGAATTATTCCTGGCACCATTCTTGCTTTCCTTGAATCCAAACTTCAGGTACTCGTCAACCACTTTAATTATCTACACGCCACAACAATAATAATACTTAGTAACAGAGTCAGAATTTAAAAATACATGTCACCTATGATATGATTTGAATTTACTATTTTGATTTTTTTAAAGAGAAATTTGTGATGGTAATTGTAGGAACTTGATGGACCAAATGCAAGAATTGCGGATTATTTTGATGTTGTAGCTGGAACAAGCACAGGTGGATTAATAGCCACCATGCTAACAGCTCCAAACAAAGATAATCGTCCTTTATATGCAGCTAAAAATATTACAAATTTCTACATGGATCATGGCCCTAAAATATTTCCTGAGAGCAGGTTAGATGAGTAATTATTAATTCAGTGTGTTATTTTTTTTTCTTTTTCTTCTGAAAACAAAAATATTAATGACATGTTATGTTTACATATATGTTACTAATGCAGTCGCACCAGCTTTTTGAAAAGGCTAGCAAATATATTTGGAGGGCCAAAATATGACGGAAAATATCTGAGAACGTTAGTTAGATCGATATTAGGCAATCTTACTGTGACACAAACATTGACTCAATTAGTCATCCCATCTTTTGATATCAAGCGCCTTCAAGCCGTGGTCTTCACAACTAGTGATGTATATATATGATCTCGATTCTCAACTTATATGATTGTCAGTATACAAAACTTAAACTCATTCGTATAATTTCATTTTGTTGTACAGGCCAAAGCGCATGTCTCTAAAAATGCTTTACTATCGGACGTATGCCTTAGTACCTCAGCAGCACCAACTTATTTCCCTGTACATTATTTTGAAACAAGGGATTCTCAAGGCAAAACACGTACATTTGATCTTGTTGATGGAGGTGTAGCTGCAAATAATCCCGTGAGTAACATAAATAATTTTTTTTTTTTATATCAAATAATTTTACTAGTGATTAATCGAACAATTGTATTTACAGACTCTAGTAGCAATAACTCAAACTTCAAAAGAAATGATGCTGGGTAAACTACAAAACGCGGGGTTGAAACCCATGGATTGCAAGAAAATGTTGGTTCTATCACTAGGCACAGGTATAGCAAAAGATGAAAAGAAGTATAGCGCCGCGGCGGCTTCAACATGGGGTGTACTTGGTTGGTTGTACAACAATGGTGCAAGTCCATTACTAGACGTTTATGGTGATGCAAGTTCTGATATTGTCGATGTGCATCTCTCTACCATATTTCAGTCCCTTGATAGCCAAAACAATTATCTTCGAATTCAGGTATTACCAAATTTCAAACTTTATGGAGTATTTAATAGTGAATTTTAAATGTGTATATCTGTCCACGTGGATTTATTACTGTTCATAACTATGCAATATTTTGACTTTTTATGTCCACGTGATTACATATGTACCTTTAAAATAGACTATTAAATAGTACAAAGGTAAAAGGTCATTTGGTATCGTTAGAATAATTTCGATCAAAATTCGAATATATGTCAAACATTTTTCCCTTGTTCAAACTAACTTGTTACATCAAGTTAGAATTATATAACTTAAATTTCGATGATATACTTGATGTTGATTATTTTTTAAAAAAAAATAAATGTGTAGGATGATAGTTTGAGTGGGGAGGCTGCATCTATGGATGTTGCAACTAAAAAGAACATGGAGGCACTTGTACAAATTGGTAATGATCGATTGAAGAAGGGTGTTTCAAGGGTTAATTTAGACACTGGACGTTATGAAGAAGTTAGTGGAGAAGGGACCAATGAAGAAGCACTTATTCGTTTTGCTAAGTTGCTTTCAGAGCAAAGAAAAATTAGGCAACCAGTTGACGAGTTCATTTCCATTAGAAAAATACTCTAAATAATAGAAAACTACTCTTACAATTACTATTTCATTTTCATAGTTTTAAGACTTCTTTTTAAATTTATATGATTTGGATAAAGGTAGACGTGGCTTGCTTATCAATTATCATGTACACAATGCTTTTCAAAAGAAAATAAATTACTCCACTTATAATATATGACATCTAATTTGGCATTTAGCATTTATCTTTTTATAATCTCCATTCCTCGATTTGTAGGGTAAAGAATTTTGCTTTTTATCCTATAATTCTGATATGAAACTTCAGTATTCGTCGACTCTTTAGTAAAAAATAATGATCATTATGCAGTTATATGTTAATGTTAGTTAGATGTCGATATGAGTTAACTTGTCCATCACTTTAACGGGTCTTAAAATGGCTAGCTAGTGCATGTAGATTTGGCTGATCTTCTTAATTTTCTTTTAGTAAAAGAATCTATATTCTAACCTATAAATATTAGTAATATAAATATTTATAAGATAATATTTTATGTTGTTGCTAACCAAATAACAAATGATAACTAAATTACCTCAAATATAAATTTATTAAGTTCTAATCATGATTAAATGTTTATAATTGGAGTTTGGAGTCAAAAGGGTATAAAATATTAATAAAAATTTTAAAACGGTATATAAAATTTTATATTAACCAAAACGATAAAATCGCTGCCACTGCAGCGATTTTGCAAAATGTGAATTTTTTTAAAAAAAAATTCAAATCGCTATCTAGGCAGCGATTTTCAATTTTTTGTAAAAAAAAATAATTTATAAAATCGCTGCCTAGACAGCGATTTCATATTTTAAACAATTCGTTTTTATAAAAATTTAAATTTTTTAAAAAAATTGCAGCGATTTTCAATTTCTTTTATAAAAAAAATTGCTGCCTCGGCAGCGATTTAATTTTTTTTTACAAAAAAATTGAAAATCGCTGCAGTGGCAGCGATTTTACTTTTTCCGGTGGAGTAAATCGCTGTTGTTCCAGTGATTTTGTCGTTTTGGATATAAAATTTTATATACCATTTTAAAAATTTTATTAATATTTTATACTTTAGGCTCCGGACTCTTCATAATTGTTAGTAATGGCCACTAAGTAGAGGATTTTGTCATTGCTTTGTCGCTTTCAACACAATTTTAGTTGCATAAAATGTATGTCTACTTATGGACTTAGTACTAGTTTTGTTATTTTTGGTTCCATTTTGACTTTAAGAATTTGATTATAGCTTTTTGTCATTATCTTAAACGTTGTCTATTACATCTAGTATTCAATATAGATATCTTGTTAGCCCACAAACTTATACAAAATTAAAATAATTTTTGACTTTTTTATTTTCAATCGGAGACATTTTATTAGAATCTCTCGAATTTTACAAAGTCATAACAACAAAGTTTGTAACTCCCAACTAACCCCTCTGGAATTAAGGTCTTATGGGAGCCAAAAATTGAAGTTGAAAAGAAAAGTATGCATTGGTTCCACTTAAATTATTAAGTATTTTCAAAGACGATTCATTTTTATGTTAGAAATTTTATGTCAGTCAGGGACCAGCCCCGTATATGTTACTGTATAACATCTGTTAAAACATTTCAACATTCACTAAACCACAAACCCCTACACTTGAGGATGAAAGTAAAAAATACGGATAACATCGTAAACATGATTCTTAATTTGGATTCAGCGAATAATTATTCTTTTCAACTTTAAATTTGCACAAGAAAACACTTAAACTAGTAGAAATTTGAACATATAGCCACACGTATACGTCCAATATGACATAATATACGTAGGATGTCATGTATGATACAAAATTATCGTGTTAGGTATCATATAGGATAAATATGTCTATTTATTCAATTTTATAAAAGTTTAAGTATCTACTAGTGGATATTCAAAATTAAAAGTCATAATTATCCGATGAGGCCAAGATAAAAGCCACGTTTAATTATTTATTATGCCTAAAAAAATATTGGGAGAGATTTTACTTGTAGAAGGTCAACCAAGCCCATTATAAGACTCCCAAATTTCCTATAGCTGTTCACTCTGTATATAACTCTTCTATTCATTCATAAAGATTATTTTCTTTAAATATGTTAATTAGAGTTTGATTGTAAGGCTTGCCAAATATATATATGATAAGTTAAGTAGCTTTTGTGTTTGACTCCCTCTTTTGTTATTTTTAATACTTTACTTTTTTATTATTTATAAGTTTTTTAGTTGGTCAAACATCACAAATTTCGTAAATTTAAGAGTTAACTATTTTTTTCATGTGAGTTTTTAATATTACGAATTTTATCAAGGGGCAGCTCAATATTATCAGAGATCTAAAGACAAATTCTAATTAGAGGCTTAAATTCTAAATAAATTTATATGTATTTATTTCAAATTTATTGTTCTTATACTTTTTAGGTGCAAACTTTAGTTGATATTTTTTATAAATAATTTCTTTGAAAAAAAAACTCATCCAAATTATTGATTTATATTAAATTTTATTAATTTAATGTCAAGACAATCATTATATAAATTATTAACTTTATTTATTTTGTAAGTAATAAGTTTACACCTTAAACAACTTTATTTATTTTATAAGTAATAAGTTTGACACGTTTTCAAGGGGTTAATGAGAATAAAATAATACATATACTTTTTAAAAATATCTCTTTTATTACAAAAATATTTTTTTAAAATAAAAAATTAACATATGATTTCTTTTTAGTAAAAATTGAGGCCTTCGAAAATTGAGGTTCTAAGACAATATGCCTTATTTTTTAGAGCAATTTTCACATATAACAAACATAAAATTCATATTTGTATTCTATAGCAAAGTTTGCATAATTGTGCTTCATAGCAAACATATGTATGTATAATACACAATACATATACAATTGAAGGAAAGTGTATAAAACGAGAAAGAGAAAGAGACTTGGGCAGAGAATTGTATAAAACGAACTGTATAAAACGATTATATACAATTTGAATTTATATAAAATGAGAAAGGCAAAAGAGATTTGAGCAGGGAATATACAATTGAATCGAATTATATAAAATGAGAAAGAGAGAAATTATATACAATTTGAATTTGTATAAAACGAGAAAGAGAGAAAGGCAAAAGATACTTTGGCAGGGGAGTACTTTTCTATTGTATAATCATAAGTGTATAGGACAAAAACATATGTATTTGCGTGTGTATATACAATTTTATCTCGCTTTATACAATAAGAAACACAATTTATACAATTCTATTGTATAAAGCGAGAGAGGCAAGTGACTGGAAGCGAGAGAGAAAGAGAGAGAGAGAGTTGCGAGCGAGAATATGAGGGAGAGAGAGACTGATAAATAGTTTGTTATGGAACACAAATAAACTAAACGGTAGCTACTATATTTATTTTACATTATTTATTTGTCATTTTATACAATTATCCCTATTCTTTAAACACAGAGTCTGCTTGTCTTACCGGATAGAATTTGGATTTTGATTATATGTATTTGGCTCGTCCAAATAAATGTATCTTGAATCAAAATTAGATATAATTTATTTTAGATATATGATATCAATATGGATTCACATAATTTGTTATGTCAAAAGTATAAAATAACCCTTAATCTTGTAGCCTTAAACATATTAAAATATAATTAAAATATTTTTAAAAAAAATCATTCTTTTATAAAGAGACCGAAAACCAGCCGTACAATCACAATGACAAGGATATACTCAAAACTTATCTGGAGCCCAATTTTGAGTTAAATGGAGGGAGGGCTCAGTAGAGAGGAGGCACAGGTCGTGAAGGGATCTGCTCCAATATTTGATCTCATTAAACTCAATTTAGATTATTTGCTTGATGATATGATCAGGATTAATAAAAGAAAAAAAAATTAGAAAAATACTTTAACTTTAGCTAAAATTGCGGTTAAGATATCAAATTTTATGAAGGACTTTTTACCTTATACTATTTAATAGTGTATTAAAAAGATATATATGTGTCCACATGGACATGTTATTATTTATAATTATGCAATATTTATTATATCCACATAGAAACATATATATATATATATATATATATTTAAAATATACTATTAAATAATGCATGAGGTAAAAGTCCTTTTTCCAAAATTTAATATTGTTACAACAATATCGATCAAAGTTCAAATATATTTGAAGTTTTTTCCTCAATAAAACTTAAATAATAAAATTGCTCAAGATGTAATCATAAATTAATGGGAATGCATGCATTAAACCACCAGATATATTATATAGAAACATAAAATACACCACATAATCACGTAACGTGTTTTAATTCCCTATAAGATAAATAGGAGAGAAATAGAAAGATTTTATTTGTAACGTGGAGCTTTAAGGAATAGAGATGCATGGGAATATTAAAATTTGTAGTCAATAATACAGACGGAAAAAGAGGATCAAATCACATGTAAATTACCAAGAATATGGAAGGAGAAAAAAACGAACTCATCAAGTTCTAACAAACACCATTCAAAATCCAAACAAGAGAGCAAATATATATATATGAATATATAAATGGATCTAAACTATACTATTAGCAATACAACTTTTTATTTTTATATCATGTTATTTTGTTAAGATCAGTTTATTCAAAGTTATTGATCATCATTTCTTATACTCCCTCCATTTTAATTTCTTTGATCTACTTTCCTTCTTGTAGAAATTCTTTAATTTCTATTTTGCACATGACATGTTTAAGATCACGATCAAAACACATTTAGGCGTAGGTGCATTTGACATAAGATCACATAATTCAAATGTCCTCTTTATTTTGTTAAACTCTGTATCAAATTAAAGTAAGTTAAACAAATTGAAAATAACAGAGAGAGAGAGAGCGAAAAGGTGTGTAAATCTTGTTTACACCATATATCGTGTGTATGGAACTTGTATAAATATGCCTTCACCTAGACATTGGTGTTGGCAAGGTATAAGCCTTTAAGAAGCTATATCTTTGTCCTTTGATACAGTATGGCTAGGATTTTTGTAGTTGCACTACTAATCACTTTTCTAGTACTGTTGCAACAATATCCTATAGCTTGTGTAGCTACTAAACGAAAGACGGTAACGATTTTAAGCATTGATGGAGGTGGTATTAGAGGCATTATTCCCAGCACTATTCTTGCATTCCTTGAATCCAAACTTCA